TGCTACAATAAACCAGTTAGTTCCTGAAGTGCTAGAGTGTGTTTTGTGGCTTCTCTTCCAAAAATCCCTTCCTTGACAACTAAGTGTGTCTGAGTCTTTTATAACTTAGCAAACCAATTACTCCCAAGGCACTGTTTATGTGTCCCTGAAGCTGGGAGTTAAACATGTATAGCCAGTTTCAGTTTTACCATACATCCTGTTGGTTATCAACAGCATAACTAATCGTATTTCCTAGCCAGATGTTTCAGCCTTTGATTGAACATATTGATTGCAATATATTATTTTTCTGTCTTACTAATTATTCTGTCCTATGAAGTTGAACCACAAGCAGTTTGTGGAAATCTCTGCAATTAGCTTGCCCAAACTGTAGCTTTGATTATAGGATTACCAGCTTTTTCTTAAGGGAACACACCCTAATATCAGAAACTCAATGACTATGTTTCTTTCACCTTTCTTTGACTGCATATCAAAATAAAATTCAGGCAGCCTGCAGGCTACTTTCCCATTTTGTTATTGGAATAATGCCTTTCCTGAGTTTGACCAGAAAGAAAAATAGTAATAGGGTATGGAGTTTTCCAGTGGGCTGTTTTAAGAAATTGGAGCTTAGTCAGATTCTATTCACTGATTCTACAAAACATCTGTGGATGTTGGACTAGCAAAACTAACTGCTGTAGAAGAATCTTCTTCTGATGAAGGTGTGTGAGACTGAAGAGCAGGTGGGCTTCTGTGTTGCTTCTGTAGTAAACATGTGGAGTTTGCCATTTCACTTAATGGGCCAGTGTTTCTGTTTTTAATAGCAAAAGGTTTCTAATTAGTAGTGGGGCAGAAAGTGGTCTGAGCATGGCTGATATCTGGGTGCACCTTAGACCAGGATCCCCCAATGTGGGGCCTGTGGGTGCCAAGGCACCTGCCAACACCTATCCTGGTGCCTGCCAAGTGCTTTCAGAAAGTGGGTGGGACCAGGTGAGGTTTTTTACTTGTAAGGCTTTTGATTGGTCACTGAAGATTTGGTTGGCTGTGGAGATTTTTTTTAAACGTTGCTTTGGCAGCAGCACCCACCATAGCATAAGAATCTTCACTGTGTGACTAAAGGTAAGCCATAACAACCTTTTTGTGGCTGGCTCCACCTCCTGCAGCAGCCATTTTGTGGCAGCACCCACCACACTGTTATCAGAATTCCAAAAGTGCCCACAGGCTCAAAAAAGTTGGGGACCCCTGCTTTAGACACTGGTAAGGAGCTGCGGTGGCTCAAGTGGTTAAGACGCTGAACTGCAGGCTATGGAAGGTCAGTAGTTCAGCAGTTCGACCCGAGTGTGCCGCACGATGGAGTGAGCTCCCATCTCTAGTTCCAGCTCCTGCCAACCTAGTAGTTCGAAAGCAAGAAATTGCAAGTCGATAAATAGGTACCACTTCGGTGGGAAGGTAACAGCGTTCCGTGCGCCTTGGTGTTTAGTCATGCTGGCCACATGACCACGGAAACGTCTTCAGACAGCGCTGGCTCTTCGGCTTTGAAACGGAGATGAGCACCGCAACCCTAGAGTCAGACTCGACTGGCTTTCAAGCAAGGGAACCTTTACCTTTACTTTTTAAGTTTATGTATCTTTCTCTGTAGAGGATTGCCAGTGGTTATGGACTGGATATCAGATCTAATAGTTGCCTATTTGTAAGGATTGATGCTTTCATTAAGCATCTGTACTGATATAAATCGATAAGGACAGTCCAGTCTGGCTAAAGTAAATGGTAGAAGGGCACTGTTGGACCATAACAGAATATATCACATTGCAGGAGATGCAGATAAATAAGCCCTTGACTGTGTCTAGGTATGAAAAAATGGGCACAATCCAAACCCCAAACTGGAAGCATTCAGAGACCAGTGGGGGAGCATTTCAGCCTCCCTCAGGTGTTCAATAAATGGTAGAAGGGCACTGTTGCAGTACTTCAAGAAAAAGGAACAAAAGGAGTCCCTGCTAAAGCATTGCTGTTAGAATTCATACACAAATTTGGCAGTCCAGGCACAGTAGGGATTGGGAATGGCTAGGTCACTAGTAAGTGATTACTTTATAACAGGTTTGTGTACACTATTCATATTTTGTTGCTTCATGACCAGTAGGGGTGGTTCCTGGGATGTGTCCTGGAATATGGGGCATCCTGATTTCTCTGTAAAGCCTTCTGTGATTCTGTGTGTGTGCATGCAGGCATCTGCTAGTGCTAACTGAAACACTTCATATATTTTACGAAGTGAGCTCTGGCTCACATAAATTTATGCCACAGCAGATTTGTTGATGACCATAATTTTCACCGCTGCACAGCTGGCCTTTTGGAATTATGTGTATTGATTTCTAATGGGGTTAGTTGTTATAGATTTTCCGGGCTGTATGGCCATGGTCTTGGCATTGTGGTACCCGACATTTTGCCAGCAGCTGTGACTGGTATCCTCAGAGGTGTAACACAGAAAGATGGAGTACTCTCTGTGTCAATGTGAGAAGAAAAATGGTAGGCAGGTAATTTATATCTACTCAGGAAGGTGGGGTAGGGCTGAGTCCTTATCTTGTAGGAGTTTCCCAGACTGTGACATGCTACAAGATAAGTATTTATTTATTACAGCATCGAGCCAATATAACCATAACACGTTAGGATACAGAGTTTTTAAAATCTGGGTAAAATGCAGTAATATATATATAAGACCATAAAATATTTGACAAATCCAGTAAGAAATATAAAAGGCAATTACAATTTTATAAATTTAGCCACACCTTTCTAATATATTAGCATGCCACCTAAAATTTAGCCACAGATTAAGTAATTATCCAGTTTTCATTGGATAATAATTGGTTACAACACTCCCAGTCTGTCTAGCCCTATGTTTCTTTGACAAAAGTTGTGATATATTTGTCTCGGATTTTATTGTACCAGTTGCATCTAAGCATCGTATGTTCAATGGTTTCTACTTCCCCAGAAGCACACTGGCAGAGCCTCTGGTCAAACGGGACCCTTCTATATCTACCCTCAAGCACCGTGGAGGGGAGAGCCTCACATCTAGCTAACACAAAGGCTTTCCTAAACTTATAGGTGTCTAAATACGATAAGTAGTCCATAGGGACCAGGCGGTATCTAATTTGCTCAGGCACTCTAAAGTTGGGATATTTACCAAGATCTGCCTGCCTCTTCACGTCCATTATTGTCTGTTTAACAGCTAACTTTGCCTGATCCCAGCGCATGGCCAGAATCTCTTGGAGAGAGAAACCAAGAACATGTAGTTTGTTATGAACTGATTTTAACCATTTTGATTGAAAATTGGGCCGCTGGAACGTAATATGCCCCCTTTATACAATAAAATTTAAGAATGGCATTCACAGTTCTTTCACCTAGAGTTGTTACATGTTGTAAATGAGCTTTTTTGGTGCCTGTAAATTGGAGGACCACACCTAAATACTTAAAGCAGGAAACCTGCTCAAGGGAATGTCCATTGACAGTCCAAATCCTTTTCTATTTCTTCGTCCAAAGGCCATGACTTTGGTCTTTTGATACTTTATTTCCTTCTTTATGCAGAAATCTGCAAATCTCTTGCGATATCTGGATTCACCTAGTTTACACCCCCCAGTACCACATCAATGCCACATTTCTATCCTGCTATATGCAGATGATGATGTCCTTTTAGCTACAATATAATAATTCAGCCTTACCCCACCTTTCTGAGTAGATATAAATTACCTGCCTACCATTTTTCTTCTCACATTGACACAGATAGTACTCCATCTTTCTGTGTTACACCTCTGAGAATGCCACCTCTGAGGATGCCAGTCACAGCTGCTGGCGAAATGTCAGGTCCTGCAATGCCAAGAAGACCACAACTAATGAACTCCTGTGTGAAAGCCTTCAACAACATATTTACTGAGGTTATTGTTTGTTGCCTTTTGACCTTACTGCTTACATTTTTTGTCTATACCTAGGTGTACATACATTTGCAGAGAACATACTTCATGCCAAAGTTTTAGCCACAATAAATGTGTAAAATCTTTAAGGAACCAGAAGATTCTTTTTTATTTAATTTCACTGCAACAGACTGACAGCTTCCACTTGGAATTCAAGGGGGCTCAAGTGGTTAAGACGCTGAACTGTAGGCTGTGGAAGGTTGGTAGTTCAGCAGTTCAAGACCCGGGTTGGAGTGAGCTCCCGTCTCTAGTTCCAGCTCCTGCCAACCTAGCAGTTCGAAAGCAAGAAATTGCAAGTAGATAAATAGGTACCACTTTGGTGGGAAGGTAACAGCGTTCCGTGCGCCTTGGTGTTTAGTCATGCCGGCCACATAGGAAACGTCTTTGGACAGTGCTGGCTCTTCGAGCTTTGAAACGGAGACGTAGAGTCGGACTTGACTGGCTTTTGAGCAATGAAGGGAACCTTTACCTATTCCCAAATAAGTATTCATATGAATGCAGCTTAAGTGCAGTGGATGTTGCTGAATCCTAAGGGAAACACCAGCCCTTCGATGTCTAGAAGGAGCACAGAAATTTAATGTTGCCGACCCCAGGCTGGGAATTTTGTGGGTAGAGCTTGGAAAGGGCAGGATTTGGGGAAGGGAGGGACCCGGAGGTTGGCAACCAGGGGCTGGCGAAGTTCCTTTCCCCGGAATGCACCCCCCCCCCCAAGAATTTAGCTGTGGTGACTGACCATAGTACCGAAGTACCATCGCCCTCACTAGGACTAGCAAGGCAATAACAAGGCCAGTCCTGGTCCTGAAGGAAAAATCAGTACCGGGGGTCAGTGCTGGATGAAACTAAGTTTGGGGGCGCAATCTCCGGATGCAAAGAAAGGGGCATCCCTGTCAGGGACTAGGGCGAACCGCTGTAATCAAGCTGTGGGTGGTGGCTGGGGAGTGGTGGGGGTCTAGTCTTCCACACAAGCCCCACTATTCGGTTGTGGGTGTAGCCAAACACGCTAGGCTGCGTACCGGGGGTGGTGGCTCGTTAGGGCAAGGGGCGGTCTCTCCCCCTCCCCATTTTCCTCTTTCTCCGCAGGGCTGGGCGGGGCTGGCAGCACGTGGGGAGAGTAGGGGGCGCCCATGTGACCGGCCTTTCCGCCTCCCCAGCCGCCTGCCTGCCTGCCTCCCCTCCTCAGCTCTGCTCAGCTCGCGCTCTTGAAGCGGTGGGAAGAGGAGCGCCACTCAGATTTCTGCTCCACAGGCAGTCGCGGGCGCCGACATCACCACCGCCACAGGGACCCGGCATCATGGTAAGGGCGGGGTGGCCTAGCTTGGCTTCATGCGGCTTGGCTTCTGCTGTGTTGGAGTGCTGAGGCCAGGCCCCCCGGGGGTGAGAGGGGCTGCGCGGGCCCCGCGGCCAGTGGCAGCCATTTTAGTCTAATTTTAGCTTCTCTTTGGGGGAGGGGGCGGCAGAAGCGGCCCCCTCCAAGTGGTGGGGAGAGACGGGGCAAGTGACTGACCTGCCAGGGCGGCCGGGGGAGGGGGGGGGGGCTGAAGCATGTATAGGTGAAGGGAGAGGGCCTTTGGAACTGCCTTCCCCCGGCTTCTCTTTTATTCTCATTTTTATTCTATTCTCGCTTTTTTCACGGTCGCTCCCCTCTGTGCCTCCGCGTGGAGAAGCACGCACAGAAAGGGTGTGTGTGGCGGTGTAGATCTGGGCTTGCTATGTGTAGAATGGGGGTCAGGCCCTTTGTGTGGAAGGGGATGGTATAGTTTGGCCGCCCTGACCGTAGACCAGATAACGGGACTTGGCTGGTGCGTCCTCTCCCTGCGTCCTGTGAAGGCAGCGGATGAAAGGTAACGGCTCCTGGAAACACTCCCCCTCTCCGTGTCTTTGTATGGAAAGGATTCTTCTATCATTTTTCTCCACCCGCCCCCCCCCCCGGAATAAAATCAATGCCAGTTTGCTTGGGGGGGGGGGGCGCATTTATCTTCCTCTGCTGCGTTTTTTCAGGGAAGGGAGACCAAACTGTACATAGTAAGATTTGGGTCCTTTTTCTGTGCCTGGAAACAAATGAGTATATTTGCTTTCTCTTAATATTTGTGAGGGAGAATCTCTCCAAAATGAAAGGAAGGCTGAATCTACTCTGCCATAAGAATAAAGGAAGATATTTTCTCATTGTTTATTGAAAGGTTATAGATACTTTCTTTTGCTTAATTGGGATTATAATGAGGGGAGGTGATGTGTAGTTGGGTTCATCCCATTCTGCAGTGTCTGATCCTTAGACATCTTGGGTGTCAGGAAGCCAGGGGAAAGCAACCCAGAACAGAAGAGCCAGTTGCTTCCTTTTGTTGCAGTCTTTTGTTAATCATAATGAGAGGGCTGGGCACTCTTCTGTGGAAAAGTGTGTAGCTGTGTGGCATTTACCATGCAGTGTGTATAGCTGAAGTCCAGCTTGCCACTGGAATCTAACATATTATGCTTATTTGAGGGGCATCTTTGCTTTCCCAATGTCTACAGAGAAAGTTGTTCATCTCGCTGTGTTAAATCATCACGAGCATGTCTGCTGTATTGTTAGGCTGCTGAAAACCCAGAAAAGGAGGAGCAATGCCCTGGCTGTATTTGGGCAGCAGTCAGTACTGTATGACTGTCTCAGCGGCAGTAGATTTTATGGGCGGAGGGAGCTTGGCTCAGCTTTGTTGTAGAAGGAAAGAAAAGGATAGAAAAAATGTGTTGTCTCATCAGTCTATATAAGTTAGTTGCTTAAAATGTGCCAGTACAGTGTGATTGGCGTTTTATGTTTCTGGAGCAGAAAAATTTACAAAGCTTTGAGATGAAAATCTAAACAAATGTCAAGTTTGTATGAGAAGTAGTACTAATAGTAGAGAGACTGTTTCTACTCTGTGTATTAAAGAAAAATGGGAAACTGATAAACAGTGCCTTCAGCTTTTTACTGTCACTTTATTCTACTGCCTGCATGTGTCCTTGCTTAAATTCCTGAAGTGCAGTAGCTTTTAAATATTTTTTTCTGTATAAAGTATTACCTAAACTGAAAACAAGACTACAATAAATGTAATTATCAGAGGTCTTGAAGTATTGGGCTCATTCCAAAGTATTGCTATAATAGTTAAAGATCTGTGACGATGAGAGCAGAGACAATTCTGAGGCTCTTTGCTACAGAAATGTCACCCTTGCTTGCAAGTGTATAAATGTTGTGGTAACACCGTGAGATGAACCCACAGAAAAGTGTCTCCCATGGCACTACTGTAAAGTATAAAGGGCACCTTTGTCCAATCCGGATGTGAGAGTCATATTCTTTTAGACTAGGCTTCTGTATGGCTCATTGCTATTGGGAGGAATTGTACATTCTGTTCTTGATTCCTTCCTCATGTAGTAACTGCACTGGAATATTTATAGGGCAGTATTAAATAAAATCCAGGAATTTTAAATACATAACATTAAACCTGACACAATGCAGAAGACATTTCTCCTGCTCCTAAAACATCACTGAACAAAACTAGAATAATGACAGGACTGGATCTGAATTACTGCTGGTGCTATTGATTATTTCATGGGATAATCCCTTAAATTACTTGCCTATCTTAGAAGTAGTTGATCTTGTTAAATTGGACTACAAACTGTCTAATGTTGTAATAAAGGCAGAGAAGGTTTGCTAGGGACCAAATTCTGGTCTTCTCAATCTGATACATAGTTACATTTGTTCCTGCCATACTTTTTCCTTTGCTTGTAGAGTAAATTTATTATAGTGAATGCTGTTTCACTTTGTTTTATAGGCTTCTGGAGTAACAGTGAATGATGAAGTTATCAAAGTTTTTAATGACATGAAAGTACGAAAATCTTCAACGCCAGAAGAGATTAAGAAAAGAAAGAAAGCAGTTCTCTTCTGTTTAAGTGGTGACAAAAGACAAATAATTGTAGAAGAATCAAAGCAGATACTAGTTGGTGACATTGGTGACACAGTGGAGGACCCATACACGTCCTTTGTGAAGCTGTTGCCTCTGAATGATTGCCGATATGCTTTGTATGATGCAACATATGAAACAAAGGAGTCTAAAAAAGAAGACCTGGTATTTATATTCTGGTGTGTAAAACAAAGGATTATTGTTAAAACAGAATTTAGTGTCCAAACCTCAGTGGATTGAATAACAACTTTTCCCCCCGTCTGTAGGGCTCCAGAAAGCGCCCCTTTAAAAAGCAAGATGATCTACGCAAGCTCTAAAGATGCCATTAAAAAGAAATTCACAGGTATGAGCAGAAAATATTCCATAATAAGGGCAGAATTTTATTTAGGAAAATTGGAGCAATCATGTTTAAACCGCTATTGAAGTAAGCAGGGCGTGCATGCATATAGACATGGTACTTTTCAAGGCAGCTATATAAACTGCTTTTCTTCTATGGACTGAAAGTCTGAACAAGTGTACCTTTTGTTGATTTATCTCTTTCAGGTATTAAACACGAGTGGCAAGTAAATGGCTTGGATGATATTAAAGATCGTTCAACACTTGGAGAGAAATTAGGAGGCAATGTGGTAGTTTCACTTGAAGGAAAACCATTATAAAAGGACAGACAAGTGCCATCTGGAGCTTCCGTTTCTGCAGCTCATTCAATTGGAATAGCATTAGTCCCTTTTACCTCACCCACCTGGACCCTGCACACCTGAAGGAGATATCATTAAATTAAGCAGTCTACCAATGATTGCCATTTGACTGTTTTTAAACCTGATAGTTTTATGTAGAACCCAAGGAATGCCTTTACATCATACTCTTAGAGAAAATTTATGATGTGGTATTCTTTGAAAATGTGTAGAATGAATGTGATAGGTGATGTGGATAGTCTAGACAAGCAATAAAAAGGTTTAAGCTAATTGACTGCCTTTAAAGTATTGTCCAATGGTAGATTCTATTCAGTATTATTTACAGTGGCACTTGATTGCAGTTCCATGAGGCTCTTGTGCATTCATACACCTCACCTGCCTTGACAAGTCTTTTTTTTTTTTGTGACATGGCGGCACACAACACTATGCATTTAAAGCACTTTTTTGTAATGTTTGATTCTGTCCCCCCAATGCCAATTCTGTAATTGTTTCATCAAATTATTGTAGTACGTCAGACTTCATTCCTGTTACATGCATAACTTTATAAATGAAGTGGCTATTGGGATGCCTTCTGTTTTTGTGTTGAATGTACACTACTGAACAGGAGTAGGGACTGTTTACCTTGAAGGTTTTGCAACACTAAAGGATGTCTTGTAAAACATCAGTCATAATGGCAATTTCTGTATTTAAAAAAAGAGCCTTAAATGGAACACTGTTTTTGAGATCAAATATATTGGCCACATGGCTTATTACAGAATGTTGCCTTGTTTTCATTGGAAATAGATGAACTATGTTAAACATTTTGCACAGCTTTTTAAATACTTCTCATAGATACCCAAGGGTCACTTAACTTCAGTAATAAATCTTCCTTTAATTATTTGGGTAAGGAATCCTTTCCCCAAGTCTCCACTCTCCTTTCTCCGTTGCCACTTTTAAGGAACTGTTGGGCCATCAGCCTACAACTTATATTGGAAATGTGCAAGGGAAATAGTGCACTGTTACTGAATGCTATTAAGAGTTAAGCATGTTCGTTTAATACTGTATTAGACCACTTTCTTTTGTCTAGTCACAGGGCAATTTCAGTTAACTTTTGTGCTAATAGGACTGGAGGGCCCTTTAAGTCTTGCATCAGGGACATGATTTGGCTGAGAGCCAAATACTGCTCTCCTTATAGAGAATTTGATCTGCTCTGTGCAAGCAGTCCTCCGTTAGCTAGAGCTATTTATGGCAAACACATGCTTTTGTATCTTGTCATCAGTTCTCCACAAATGGCAAAACTGGACATGATTCTACTGGTATGCGTAAAGGAACTCTGTTAGGCAGCCAATTGCTGCTGAAGTGTGCATACCACTAGGAGGAATGCTTTCATCAAAAGGAATAGGACCTGAAAACTTAAGATTTCTTAAAGACGATGGAAGAAAACAGAAGCAAATTAACATAGATGTTAGTTTGGTGATATTTTTACTTGTATCTGGGGGAAGAAATAAACAGACAATATTAAAATATATGTATAAATTGATGTTATTTTCAAATTGTTGCCATCTAGAACTTTTGACTATTTCAAGCTTTCAGCGGTCTCTGACTTACTAGAAGGGAAATGTATATCTTTTAGAATACTGACTGACCTCTATTACAGATTTTAAGGCATGCAGACTCTTGCTATGTGTCTTGGTTTTGTAGCAGAAGGGAAAGTTTTAATATCCTTTACAGATGATTGGGAAGTGTCTATATTGTCCCATGTCTTTCAAAGATTCTGCCATATGTACCCATATAAACCTGGTTGCTATAAAAATCTACTTTCTGCTCAGTCATTTTGTAACATAGGACTGCATTGCTTCCATTTTAAAATTATGTGGTGATCTAATGCTTTATTAGAGAGAACCCAAATGCTTTCAAATGAATGTTTAACTTGAAAAAATATACGGAACTCTTTGTACCCTATCTGTAATGTAAAGCAGTCTTTCAGTTCATGTAATCCTTTGCTAGTAATGTCACTGGTGTTTGCGAATTGTGTTGAACAGATGTCTGAGGCTTTAGAACTGAACACTCAAGACAGTTTCCTTTAAAAGTATGCCTGTTTGCATATTCAGACAAACTTCACATGGATTTATGTAAAATTTAAACTATGTTGATAGTACTGAATCCTGCACACCTTTGGTACAAATGTTTTAAGACCTGTTTATTCCTGGAAAGGTACCGATTAAGATCCAGTGCAGTAAACTATAGCTTGCTTTTGGAAATGCCACTACAAAACTCTTTCTGCTTGGACAATAAAACAAATGAGAGACAGCTGGCATGTGTTCCAAATGGCCTGTCAGCTGTTGTTTTCTGTCACTGTGCAAAATGATGGCCTCATTGTGACTTGGAGATTGAAGGAAAGCTTCACAATCTGAGCATCTTGTCTCTCCCATCGTAGATGTGACATTGGGTGTCAGCTTCAGTTACTTTATTGATTAAAGAAATTGAAATAAAAGTTTTCATGATGGTACTGAGCATTTTTGCAGATAGTGCATTTTTATCTTAAAATTCTTCTGTTTGAATTCTAAGTCAGTTCAGGTACAAAAGTGAAGGGTTTGAGTCTAAACAGAAAACTAAGCTAAATAAGTGTAGAACTAGGAGTGACTTTAGGGATAACCTTGAACAGAACTACTAAGCTGATGTCAGATGCAGTATGTTCATCCAAAAGTGGGGAAAACCAGCCCCCGCTCTGTGGTTAATTTAAGGTGCTTAATTTAAGTGAAGGAAATCCCCTCCAAGTTCAAATGGATTCATTTTGGATAGTAAGCATTCAACCTGATCATAGTTATAAATGGTCTAATGCTAATATTTAGATGATGAAAATAAACTTATTAACTGTTTTGGCAAATCTTGATACCGAGACCTTGATCTTCAATGTCTCAGAAATAGGATACTGGTGATATGCAATGTAGATGTTCACACATTCCATCTGAAGAACTTTTGTGCTAAACAGCAGATCTCTATAAGAGATATACATTTTATTTTATTTGGAATATTTCTATTATTCAGAGTATATATACTTCAGAGTCCTGTCCAAGGCATCTACAATTAAAGTGATATATAACAATAAAAAACAGCAAGCCATTTAAAAGCAAGCCAAATTTTAGATAATCCTATGTGAAGTCTACTGGACTGTACATGTAACTACATAGCTATTGATGTTGTCATTGCTGTTAAGATATTCCCACTGAACTCTTCCCTGTGTAAGGCTAGAGTGTTCTCAATGCAAATGCATTTCTGGTCTTAAAAGAGGCTTTTAAGGCTAACAACATTTATTTAAATATTTCTAGTCTTCGACTTTTGTGAGCCCCAGGCTGCAATCATATGCACAATTAGACCCGACATAGGCACGAATGCCCGGTGGATTTAAAGGGAGCAATCAGACAACATCTGGGAAGTGTCCCGCAGCCATTGGCAACCTGTTCTGCTCTGCCACAGAAGCGGAGTTAAAAGACACCAGGGAAAATCTGGTAGTAAATGGGTTGTGATGGGCCATGGATGGACTTTCCCCTGTCTGATCGCTCCAGCGTGCTCTCATGCCGTCAAGATGGTCTGATCAGGCCATCCCGACTCTGCTGTTGTTCCCCCCCCCCTTCTCAGTATGCGCATCATCACAAACTGCATAAGGAGTCCTCTGTGCGGAGGTGCGATTCATCGATTCCTCGTTTAAGCACATGGAAAACAAGTGGCAAAAAAACCCCACAGTTGTGTCTGATCACACACTGACAGGCTGTGCCCGCAGCTTCAAAGGGAGGTGTGATCTCGCAACTGTGGGTCAAAGAACTCTGGAGGAAATAGCCTTGCTTCCCCCCCCCCCCCGGCTGTATCTGGCGTGTGTGACCACAACCCCAGTATGTTTTATGGAATGTCTTTTTTTCACCAAACAATGTGAACAAGGCAATAAGCATGGTCATTACTATTTTAAAGCAGCTAAAGCAGCTGGTTCTAGCACACTATATGCACTTGGGCAACTAACAAAACTAGAATAAGCAGTTCAGTCATTCTCAAAGCCATGTAAGAAATGTTTACTGCTTGATTGCTTGGTAAGGTGGATAGTTCCCATGATGGTTTTTCATATGGAAAGCATTTGCTACAGATGTAGGGGAATTGGTTGCAGTAAATCAAAGCATTAGACTCAGATTGGATTATTTTTCATATCATTGATTTATTTGGATCTATTTCATATCCTAAAACAAGGCTGAAGTATTGTGACAGCATAATATAAGAAATGTTTAAAATTAAGTCCATATATTTTACACTTTGAATGATTATTTACATGTGAACATCACACATGCATTTCTGGATAGATTTATTTGGATTTTTTAATTCTACTTTTTTGCCAAATCTGGCTCCCAAACTAACCTGCAATGATCTTAGGTGAGGATAACTGTTCCTCAAATTGGTTGCAGTGATGTGCTTTAAGTATGGGACTATAAAGTAACCAAAATGCACTTGTGAGAGGGTACTAATGCACTAAAGTGCATCCCTCCCCTGTTCTTGTCATTTCTTTTTTTCTTTTTAAAATGTTTTTTTTTATTTTCCAAAACTACAAGAAAATAAGGAAAGGGAAACTATAAACTACAGGAGAAAATAAAGATAAACCACTAAAAACCCAAGAGGTGGTGGTCATATAATGATTACAGTAAAATAGCTTTAAGTAAAAAAAATAATAATTCGTTACATTGAAGGTGATCATTAAAGTCACTTTAAAAATGTCAAGTCCAGGTATTCTGACTTATTAAAAAACAAAACGAACGCTTAAATATTAAGAAGTAAGACCAAACTTCAGAGAAGATTGGCATCTCATTTGCCTCTTCTGTCCCTCAATTGATATCCTTGCTTGGGGGCAGCCGCCCCACATTCCGAATCCGAGTCTTCTCCAGTAAGTGTTTCATCATCACTCCCCTTGTTGCTCTTCTCGTCCTCTTCCCCTGTTAGATCCAGTTGTTGCTGCAAGAACTCACGTGCTTTCATTACAAAGTCAGTTTCCCCCTCTTATCTTTAAATTTGAAAAGTATGCCTTCAGGTATAATCCATTTGTAGGAGATGTTATTCTTTAGTAGAAACAGAGCCAGGTCTCTATTTCTTCCTTTCCCCCCTTATTTCAAAGGGAATATCTTTCAGAACTCTTATCTCCTTGCCATCAATTTTAAGGGTAGCTCCATTTGTTGCTTTTAATATCTGATCCCTCACATGTCTTCGGGAGAATCTAACCACCACCTCA